CTGAGAGCTTAGATACAGTGAGGGGGTGAAATGATATCCAATTTTGCAGGAGCAATGTAAGCCCTTTTGGTTGCCTGACCTTTTGTCTTTCAAGTCTTTAGCCATTTTTATTGACTTTTATGTGAAGAAAGATTGTTAATGTGCTTTTTGATTTTTAACGATTTGATGCCCTTCATGCATTTTCTTGACTTGATTGCTAAAAAAACACGTAAAAATAAAATAGTGTCACAGACGAATGTTTAGAAGAGGAATCGTATTCAATATATGGAAAATCGGGAGGATGAATGCTGTGAAATAGTTAAAGATGTAGTAGAGCAATATAGTTGGATTGGAGAATGAAGGGAATTTTTTTTTTTTTGAAAAAATGGACCATAGTGATCATTGTAGGTGTTTTTGAAATACAGACAGCTTTAATCCAAGGGAAGGAAGTCTGGCCGTTAGGTTTATTATGGTGGTGTTATTTCGCCTTTTAGCTGCTGGAAGATTGGGCTCAGGCGAACGCTGGCGTTTGTTACTATCAGGCACCCTCATCGGGTCAATGCCGATAAGGTGAGGGAAGTTCAGCTTAGCCTTGGAGCCTCGCATCTTGAAAGCTGCCCGATCATAGGCCATGGCTGCCTCCTCTGGCGTCTCGTAGGTCCCCCCAACCACGTTCTTGGTCGGATCTCTGATCTCAGCCGCATATTTCCCCCATGGTCTTCTCCTCACTCCTTTGTAATTTGCGCCTCTCCTTGGCCCAGCGGATGTGGAATCTATGGGTGTGGTCCTCTGGAGATGTGGAAGCTGTCAGATCGAAATCATCCTCCTCTAGCAGTTGCTGCCGAATCCAATCTAGAGCCGCAGAGCCGTTATCCCATCTGAGCTCCCCCTCCATTTTACTACTTCTTCCTTGTCAGTGTCACTAACTCGTTTTTTTTCTTATCTGTTCACAGGCAGAAGATATATATATACACAGAGTCTCCTTAAACTTTAATATACTACAATATGATATGCAGTTGCTTGGAAGCGCCAAATCAGTCACGTTTTACTCAATGTTCTTGTCTATTTTATTATT